ATGCGAAAAAAACGCATTAGAACAAGGTTTCATTTCAAAAAACCTCTTTCTGTCAGTTCACTATGGAAAAACATTCAAGGTGAAATATTGTTCGGCTACGTGCATTGTGATCGCAAGGTTCACAGAGAGTATAGTTCTCCAATATTCAACAAAATTTTGAAAACACCGATGATACCAAAAATTATGTTGATGAAAGCTTAAGTCATTTGTGTAAAAGGTTGATTTGTTGAAACAACTGCAACGAATGTTAATATTGAGCTTTATTTCAACCAACGGAACATATACAGATCTTGAACTAATGTGAACAAAAATTAGTCGTTTTACCAAGTAACTGATTTACCTGTTGTTCATGCTAGGCGATTCGGCTATAGGAATTCTTTGTCTAGTGTGGTAGCTGAATCGATCTAGTTGCTAGGAAACAGTTCCTTTGGCTATCGAAAAAAGGACAGATCAAAGCATTCAATGACAAACTAATCTGGTGACGATAAAACACACATAAGGCTATCAGCATGCAGTTTCCTAAACTACTCAGTGTTGAAGCTAGAGATTTGTTTGACTTGGACCTTGTTAAATCTACCATAGAATTTTTGCTGTCACGATAGAAAAAGTCAAAAAGCATAAAAATATCAGTAAAAGACTGAAAAAACCCGCATTAGAAGACTCTTGAGATGGCCCGACGGCAAAGTATCGACATGGAGTTGATGGAGCAGTGAAATTAAAGTAATTTATAAAAAGATTGAAAACGATTGACCGAGCAGTTGTAATTTTTGATTAAACTAAAGCGAACTGAGCTAACTTTACACTAAACGGAAAGTTGATTTTGATGCAAAAATACTAAACCTGTAAATGTGTAAAAGAAAATGGAGTAAAATTGTATACGAAGCAGTAAAATGATACAACTTCTATGTTATTAACTTTTTTTCAACAATTGATGCTTTTTAAAAGCTGCACTTGGCCTAATAATTCTATTATTTCTGGTTATCTATAAAACATTGGAATAGTGAGCCTCACTGTTTCGAAGAAATCGGGCGCCAATAAAAACATCTGAAAATCTGAAAACCGAATTGATACTTGGGAAAACTATTCATCATTTTGATATACAGGGTAGAAAGGCGATAATTTATTTCGCAAATATGATACATTGGAGTCTGCACCCTCCACCCACACCCAAATTGAATACAAAGTATACCATTCCGATTTTAAATACAAAAAAATGAACACCACTCCGATCTCAAAGATAAAAAGAATGAACAAATTTGTGATCTCAATTAGTGAATGATTGGCTGTTTTTCAGCAGGAAAAACTAAATTAATAAAAACAATACGGTGAATTGTTTCATTGAGTTATTGCTGAAATGTTCATCAATCTCATTAATTCTGATCATTAAAGTTCTTTCTCGCAGATTGTTGACGCAAGGACTAACTCCGTTCAGAATAACAAACAAAACATAAACATGTATAATTTTGCGAAATCCGCTTACAGTTGCGGATTCCAAAAAACTAGCTATAACTGTTTGTTGCGAAATCCGCGACAGCTCAAATGTGTCCAAAAATGTGTTCCAGTTACTTGTACGCAAAATCCACGAATTTTTTGTAAGTGGAAACGGTTTACATTTGGAAATATTTTCAAAAAACGTGCTTTTAGAATCGAGGAACAAACAGAAATCAAATTGTGTGCGTATCTAGTGAACAGCTTTGTCCGGTAATGATGTATTTTTAATTGATCTCAATTTTTCAATATATAGGATTTATTTTTCCTTCAAGTAAATATTAAACTGCATCTGGTTTAGTCACCCAAATCGCAATAACTTTTCTACAAATACCAGTGATAAAAAAATTGATCCATCAAAGTATCATGCCAGAAAAACTGAGAATACACAAAAAAAATAAATTAAATCAGCTTTTTTTTAAAAAAACTCATTTCAAATTTTCCACAAAACTGATTATCATCACTGTATAAAGTTTTAAAATAAATTAACTTAAGTTTAGAATAAAGTTAACTTAATCTATATTTTTATGGTATCAAATGTTTTATGAACCGATATGTTTTTGATGAAGTTAACTCAAGCCTTTTTGTTCCTTGAATTGTTTTTTCTTCTACTGGACATGATGAAACTAGATTTTTTATACAACTCCTGGAACTGAAGCTGGAATTTTCTTGACAGTTTCTGTGATCGGTAGGTATCCTAGACCCCAATTTTTGATTTGTTTGAAACATTGGTTCCCAAAACAAAGTTACAATTTTAAACAAAAAAAATTAGCAATACCCAAAAATCAGTACAACAATGGTAGTGTGCCAACATAACGGAATGTTACCACCATAATCATGGTAAAAATGGATAAAGAATCATATCTGTTTCTCTAAATTGGGTTCTGAAAAGGGCAGCTATAATTATTTCTTTTAGAAAAATTAGAAAAAAATTGTGCTCTCTGTAGGCAATTGAATGGTTACTTCACTTTTAATAAAGCCAGCAAATGTTTCATCCAACTTTCTGTTCTGATTTTTCTAGTTTAAATTTTGATTAAGAGAAAATCAGTTTAGTAATTCAATCTGTATTTTTTTGAATCAAATTTTTCTATTAAAAAATACACTCAGTTTTGAATTTTGAAAAAATGATAGCATCAATAAACAAGTCACAACTAGCGCGAAAACTGTTACGAGCAAAATTACGTAACAAGGCAATGGCAAGTAGCCTAGGCTCATTCCGCTGCGTTTATAACCAGCACGAGAGTAAGGCTACGTGTGATCAGTGTTCCCCGCTCAATTTGCTCTTACGAATTGCCACTTGTTACAAACTGTCATTTCACGGAAATCAAGACACGCCAATTTGATTTTGATGGTTTTTTCTTATCATTCGCTTTGATAAAGAAAAGTTGCGAAAAGCGTTAAACTGATTTTAAAAAAAAAATAACTGATTGAAACGAAGCCAACAGAATTCTAAGACTCATAAATTTAGCGAGTCGTTTTCGTTGTTTAAGTTGCTATTAAAGTTTGGGAGTTCAAAATTTAAAAAAAAACTGTGTTTAAATTCATTTCATCGGCTACACAAAATAGTTTTCACATATTTTAAAAGTGTTTCTGTTCTTTCTAGAATATTATGATTTTTGTGATTTTGCAATTTTTTATGCGTCAATTTTTCTTGAGTGGTTCAGGTTCTTTGTATCTAGCGGTTAATCGAAGAAACAAATGAAAAATACTTGGTTCAGCAAATTCAGAAAATCTAAACGAGGTTCAACCAGCAGAATTTCTTCATTAGTTTTTCTTTTATATCTGTCTCTTTTTTTGCTAAAACACCTTTTTTGCTCAGTGTTTTTGCTCAGTATGCGCCATTTAGGCTATGAATAGAAAAATTGAGTTTAATTTTGCATGTATTTTTGAGAGGTAGTTCGGATTTTGTTTTTTTTTTTCAAATCACGAGTTTCATGGCTATTAGTCAATATAAAAACAAAAAGCTCAAATTATCTACAATCATTTTTTTTTGCTATTCGCTTAATTTGTTTTGATATTAAATTGAATCAATCATTCATATTCAATTCATGTTTTATGTGTAGCCAAAAAATGTTCTTCTTAGAATGTGTGAAACAATATTTGTTCTAATTATTGCTTAAGCAAAAAAATGAACGCCTCACAGGCAAGTTTTCAATCGCTCACCTGACTTTTTCGCAAAACTGAAACATCAGTGAAAGAAATTAGTGGCTCGAAGCTCACCATAATTCTGCTTGTTGGTTGTAGGTTATTGTTAGATTTTATGTAAGAACTTACTTTTGGCTAGTTCGAAACCTTGGTTTAAGAAAAAAAAAGCTTGGAATCTCAAACAGAAAAAAAATACACGTGCCCCAAAAACATTAGAAACTAGGTTAGTGTGCAACGACAACAGAAAGTTACAACGATTTATTTTGTAAGAGTTTTTAAAGAAACGTTTCTGTCGTTTTTTCGTCAATTCAATGCAGCTATAACTATTTTCGAAAAAAAAACAAGGAAAAATTTGTGCCGCCGAAAAGCATTTGAATCGTTAATCTGCTATTATTAGAGTCACTGCTTTATCCAATTTTCTAGTCTGATAAATTGTTTTGTTTTTGAAAAAAAAACAATTCTTTTGGAATCAATAAATGGATTTCAGTATACTGATTCAACATGTAAATTCTTTAAATAGTTTTGCTACTTAATAATTATTATATTCAGTTTTAATTTTTCAAGAACAGATCTGGCGTCATAACAAAAGTAAACGCTAGGCAAACAATTTAAAACAGGCGATTATTCGTAACAAGCGTCAATTTGTTACGAGCGACAATTCGTACCAAGGCATTGGCAAGTAGCATACGCTCGCCCCACTAAGCTTAGAAACGGCACGAGAGGAATACTGCCATTGATCAGAGCTTACCGCTCAATCTTCTGTTACGAATTGTCGCTTGTTGCGAAATGTCGTCTGTTACCAATTGTCGCCTTACAGAAGTCAATAGGTGCCAATTTTGGGATGATGATTTTTCGAAACATTCGCTTTGAAGATGAAACATTGCAAAAAGTGTTTATCTTAATTTTTTTTGGAAAAAACTGATTGAAGCCAGAATAATTCCAAGAAAAAAATTTTTAATTAATCGTTTATGTTGCTGGTGTTGTTATCAAAGTTTGACAATTCAAATTTAAAAAAGAAAATTTGTTTTTTTTTAATAGAAAATCTTTCGGAAAAATTCTCTACTTGCAATAAGTGAAACAATGTTTGTTCTATTTTTTAATTCAGTAAAAATTATGAAACTCGCACACGCAACTCTTCAATATCGCTTAATTGACTTGTTCACTAAATTGATACATCAGTTAGAAAATCGGTGCTTTGAAGCTCATATTGACCCGTGCTTGAGGCCTGATGGGTGGGGCAACCACTCTTAGCCCTAAAAGAGAGCATGTAGTTTTTCAAGCAGTAAACCGCGGTACTGCAGAACAATTTGTAAAGAACTGAACAGGTCCTGGATTGAAGGTCTTAACAGACAAAAAAAACAACTAACCGCAGAGTTTCCGGCCATGTCGATTGTGTAGTCCTCTGCTCCACAGTTATTCACAATGTACACAACTGAATTTTGACCAGCTGCAAATGTTGAGTCATAGTTCATAGAAATTGTAAGTTGGCCTGTTTTGTGAGGTTCCTCTGACACAAGCGTCATGTCTGCAGAAAGTTAGAAATAGAAGTTATGATCAAATGCACTACTTTTATTTCCAATTTTTCTACCATTTGGCGAAAATTAAGAGGAGTGTTTTTTTTCGAAACCTTTTTAAAGTAATTTCCAATTTTTCAATCTCAACCGAAAACGCAGAGAGTGACCACGTTTGATAAAACTCAAGACGCCGCTGTACGTTGTTTAAGGGCGTATTACCATTTTAGGGCACATTTTGGAAGATTTGGACCAAAAAGTTGCCTTCTTTATGGCGCGCGCTTGAATTTATATATAATGATATTAACAAAGCCTCCGGAAAAGTTTATGGGTTGATTGATCATAAATAACCGCAGTAAAAGAGTACCAAAGGACCTGGAAAATTTGGAAGCCCGAAATTAATCGACAAAAAGTCCCGCGTTTGGATTCTTAGGTTTGATCGACAAATTATACCTGAAAAAGTTAAGTTTAACCGTCTTCTTCTGACGAGTATCAAATTTTTTGATCACTTAAGAAACGCCTAACATAGAAAAATTTGACAGATAGAGATATTTTATCTCGGACAAACGTGTGCAAATTGCTTCCAAATCCAGGTCGGTTCCAGTTCCTGTTTCGCTATTACACAGCAGCGAGAATCTGAAGTCGTAGCATGTCCCAACTGACAGACCGGAGATTGTATTATCTGGTTCAGGACTATTTTTATCTACTGTAACTTCGCTGGCGGGAAAAGTAGCTTCAGATGATAACTTGTATGTATACACGTAATGGCTGTACGTGTTCTTGTCTATGTCTAAAAAACATTTTAAAAACATGAAATTTATCTGAAATTCAAAAAAACTTGAGCTCATTTAGCAGAACTGTTCGCGGGGGGAATCCAAGGTTTTCAGAGATATTTGTCAATCTATGAGATATTACTTTTGCATCGTTGTTTTGTTTTAATAAAATTTCATCATATGAATATTCAAAAACTTCTAAGCAATTACGCGACTCTTTAGTAGAGAGTAGGATCCCATTTATTACAATACTACTAATTAAAGGTGATGCAGGCTGTCAACTAACTGTCAGTGTTGGTTTCTTCTTGTGCGACCACCTCAGTGATCTGCAGACTGTCTGAAGTATGGGTAAATTCTGCAGACTCTGCCCTGGTCGGTCCTAAAGGATACATAAGGAAAACAAGGATACCAGATTGCTCAGCGGGAAGCATAGAAAGGTCTAACCAAAACGCTTCAAAAAAACAAAAGTGAATGAAAAAAATAAATGAAAGAAGATTTTTTTCTCTAAATTCTGTATTTTTTTGAATTGGGAAAGTGGAAAAATACACAACATTCGTGAACAAATCTTCAAAATCCATCTTTTGAGGATATTCTTGAAAGCTAACACGCTGGTGTCCGATTTCGCAAAAAACGGCTTGCTGTAATTAAAAAAATAATGCCCGGTTCATAATAATTAAATATATTTAGAAAAACATCATGATTATTATAGTATTATCCCGGAAAAAGAGACAATGAATTTGGTTACAAAACTTAAAGAATTCAGTTTTCGTATATTTTTGAAATTTTGGTGGCAATAGACTGTTCGAAATAAGACTGTGTTTTCTACTTGAGTTATAGGGTACTTTCGGATAGGGTACACCGTCTGCTCGTCACGCAATCTTATTTTCGGCCGGATAGATTCGTGCAACTTCTTAGTCTAATACCGATACAAATTATACTCTTATATCTACTAGTCTCAGGTTGTTTAACTAGTCTCTGCTAGGCTCAATAGATCTAGAGTATACTGGCTGATTGCGATTGCTAGAAGGTCTCTTGGAGAGGTAACTAATTTCTAAGTTAAATTCAAATCTATCTGGTGCTGAAATTACAAGTAATTTCAGCACTTACAAATTAGTTGGTTGTTAGTTAGATGGATCATGATTGGTTAATATTAAATAGTTTATACTGATCAAATATTCAATTTATAACCAATGATAAAATGTAGTTTAGAACTGGTTCCACCCATCCGGGGTTTACAGAGTTTTGAATCTCTTATCTTCTATCTGTAATGAAGGATGGATGATGGTCGTTGGTATTTGGCGAGCATCATTTCTTGTTTTGTTCTTGGAGAAGAAAACTCCAGGAAGCTAGAGTCGTCGATAGGAATTTGTTTGTTTGTTTGTTCGACGATGGCTGCGACCGCCGGTGAAATCAATCTGATTTCAAAATGGTTTGCTATGATTGTTTGTTCTGCAAGGGTGGAGAACTGATCGAGTATCACTCTTGTCTGGGAATGGCGTGAAGATCGTGTTAGGAGGGAATGCCTTGTAACGCGGATCTGTACGTATACTTGCACATCGAGGTGGTCATTTGTCTGATTCAATGAAGTCCTTTTCTGCGAAGTCAAGTCGTACTCTAAATCCTTTTTGAGTCGTGATTGTGAGCGGCATGTCGGTTGTGTTTAGCCATTCTGTAGGTTGAGTGTGATGGGGTCGTCTAGTCTTTGGATGCTCGTCTTTGCGGTTGTTTGAGATCTATGTACTGCATATTATAATTTACATTTTATAAAATTTTGTAAATTCTATTTTTTATATATGATTTTGGTTAATTGTTTTCGCAAAAGCATTTTAGTTTTAGTTCAGTTATTTTTAAAATTTACTCACCCTTGAGTACCTCTTGTCAACAATATGATGTAGTCACAAAGCGTGGATGTAGCACGGTGGGTTAGGCCGGCTATAGAGCATGCTCAGGACGTCCTCTCTGGTGGGTTAGGCCAGGAGTGGGAGTATTTCATGCTGGTTTTTTAAGGGGTCCTGTTTTGTGCTAAAGTTTTTGTTATATTATTTCTAGTTTTTTTGTTACTTTGGTTGTGTCCTTTTCTCAAAAATCAAATTAGTTTTTGTTTGGGTTTGTCTTGCGACTTTTTGGTGTTTTATTATTTCTTTTTTAGACTTGGTAAAAGTCTTCAAAAGAACAAATTATTCAGTTTTAAGCTGGTTTAATCCGGTTTGGGTACCATAGGTGATCTTTTATTAGTCAAGCTGTTAGTTTGTGGTTTATGGTGTTTAGTTAGCTGCATTGGTTAATTTGGTTATTATATAATTCAATTCCAACCGGGTTAAAGGAAAGTTGGAAACTTGTTAATGCTTGTTTGAGTTGTTGTTAGGGCAAACTTAAAACTTAAAATTCATTATTTTAAACAATTCTTCGTGGGCGAGTTGTGCGATTTTGGATAGAATTCTTGTGCGGGTAAACAGAAGGTAAATAAAAGGTTAGTACTGCATTTCTTTGTATAAATTTACCACTTTAGGATTAAATTTTACTGCTTTGTGGGGATTGAAAATTATTAATTGATTATCATCGTAATGAACTTTACTACATTGAGGGAAATAATTTATAGATGAATTTATTGCTTTCGAATTGAATTTTACAGCATCATTTAGTGCTATAGGTTTTATAGAAATTATTCTGAAAAAGAAATTGTATTTTTATTTGTTTTTTCTTCTTGTTGTAGGTGATCATGGGTGAAGACTAAAGAAAATGTAAGCTAATTATAAAAAATGGTTAGTTTTTATTTTAAATTAGTTAGTTTTAAAATATTAAATTCATACTTACCTTAGTCGTCGGGGGAAAAGCCGTGAGGGAAAACATCGTGAATAGCGTCTGATGTAGTTAGTAATTTTGCTAGTATGCGTATGATATTTTTAGTTTGCAGCATTGGCCAAAGCAATTGAAGTGCTTTTATGGTTTTGAGTTATTCGGTGCCTACTGCAAATTCATGAGGTGTGTTATGGATTAGATTGTAAATTTTATGATTGTATTTAGTGTTGTGGATGAATTCTAAAATGGGTACTTCTATAGGTTGAATATATTCATGCGGAACTATTAGGGGACGGGCTTCTTCGTCGTTGAAAGTCTTGGTGAGGGTACAAAATATGTACATCTGGGTGATCGGGTCGTAATTCCGGAGGATGCCTTGAAAATTAGTATTTTTAACACAATACGTGAAGTTTGGGAAAAATGGTGATGTGTATTTAGAATTAATAAACTGAAATCTGAGGTGAGGTTGTCGCGATGGTGTGTGTAAATGAAAATGATTTTCAATAAATCGATAATAAGTGTAGGTGTGCGTTTGTTTAGTTCGGAACATGATGTCATGTGAACAGTGCAAATCTCGTTCTTTTGATGTGAGAAAATGAAAGGTTAGTGAATTTGTTTGAAATTTTTCGTGAAATGTTTCGTATGCTTGAATATCTGATAATGCTTCTGAAATAATGTGATCAAGCTTTTTATCTAGTATGTTAAGTGTGAATAAGTAAGGTGTTTTTATGAAAAACTTCTCTGTTAGTTGTGGGTTAGCAAACTGATCGTCGTCAAGAAATTGGTCTTGATTAGATCTAATGATGTTATGATCATAATATTCAATTGAAAAATCGTTAGCTCGGGGTGCAGTGAGCAGTGAATGTTTTTAGTAATTTCTTATATCCTACGTATGTAAATTTTCGGGATGTGAGTGCTGTGGTTAATCTGAATAATTCGTCCTTCTTTCTCTCAATATTTTTTGTTGTGTTATAGAGTGGTAGCGTAAGGGGGTTAGTGAAATTATAATAAGCTGTCCAATGAAATGGGGTATTAATACATGTTCATCTACAAAGTGACGTGGTTCAGGGTTAGGGTCAGATTGATTTAGTGTATATTGGGGAAACAAAGGTAGGGTTATTTGAAGATAAATCGTAGTATTGGTGTGGTCTGGATGGTTTATATTTTCTCGAGCGGTTCCGGGTTTGGATGGAAAAGGGTGATTTGGGAATTTTCGTTTAAAGGTTCTATAAGCTCGGTTAGTACTAGTGGATGTTTCTGTTGATATGGATGATTGAGCGAGTGATGGAGTGTTATCTTAGTTGGTGGATTTGATGATGTGATCGTTGATCATAGTTGGTGAATGGTGAGAGTGTGGAGAGATAGTAACTGTTGTTGTAATATTATTAAATTATCTAATTCATTAGAAATTTAAAAACTATCTGGGGAATTGTTGATGGATCGTTCGTGATGAATTGGGGAGTAGGTTGGGGTCACTTGAGAAGGAGTGTAGGGAGATGTACATAGGTTTTGAGGTTGAATAGGTTGAAGAGGGGGTTTTGAGAAGGTTGAGAAGGTGGTTTGGGTGTGGGTAGAAGGGGATGATTCGGAGTCTGCAAATTTGTCGGGAGTTTCTACATCGGAGTTATTAAATTGTGATATTGTTTGAAAAACTGTGATATCTGAGTTAGTATCAGAATTCATGCCTGATGATGCATTAGTTCGTGGTGAATCAGGTGGCGGGAAAGCAAAAGTGGGATAATATGGATGGGATTTTGGAGGTTGGCTGGGTGGGAGTTTGATTGGTGGAGTGATCCAATATGTCTGCTCATCGTGGGCTAAAAAAATGATTATTTTGAGACTGAAAAGTGGTGGTAAGAGGCTTTTCAATAATTTGTTCATATGTGTCGTCATTTTGTTACTATATGTTGAATTGGGCTTTGCATGTTGCTTGGTCTTATGTTTGGAGGCTTTGTGATTTATAAGTTTTTAATATTTCGTGAAAATAATGATAATGGATGGTTATGATGTAGATTTGGTAAAGGTGATGCTGTAGATAATGTATTTGTATTATTGATTGATTCGTCGTATGTGTTCGGGTTTGTTGATAGCTTCGTATTGTATTCTTTGATTTGTGCGTCAAAGAGGATTTTATTTATGGATGATGAAAATATTCCAAAAAATCCTGCAAATAATATGCGTGCTACGCTTGCTTGTCGGTATAATTGTGTATGTATTGCACATGTGTTATAGATTCCTTTTAATAACGAGAAAAGAAATCCAATAAAGTTAAACTTAGCGTATAAGATAGTCAATCTTTCTAAGATGTAATATGGCCATCCTGGAAAGACAAGGATTTCGTTTTTTAAGGTTACAAAACTAAAAATGTTTATTGGTGAGATATCTTCTGGACGGTATTTTTTGCCGTTCAAATAAATAAAATTTTTCAATGTCCTCAAAGTATCCACTGTAGTCTTGTTTATAGATGTCCGAAAATCCTGCCGTTTCTGCAAGTTTTTTTAAGTTTTGATCTATGGATTGTCGTTGTATGGTGTCCATTTGTGTTAGTAGTTCCTGAAATTGTTGTGTACAAATGTGATG